AACATATTAAAGTGTCTTTGGTGTTTCCATGTTTTCTACAAAACAAAACCGGAAATCGAGGGGTTTTGACGTCATTGGCAGGCGACACAATGACACTATGGACACGGTCCGTGTCACTAGTTAAAATTGCTTATTTCTCTGGATTTAAACATTCTTTGAAACATTTGGGATAATGTAAGTACACAAGTCAGCAAAATATATAACACTGTTCTAGTGGTTTTTGGATATTTTAATAAAAAAATCTTACATATTGTGCCTTTAAAGCAATTCTTGTTTAGCTGGCTGATACAACAGTGGTCATAAACTGTATACTGACACCTACTGGTGTGGATGTATCATCCCACAAAAGCAAAAGTTTTTTGGTTACTGATGCCAGTGTGGAAATACCCTGTTCATGGGCACATTTGTTACCTATTATTAATTAATTCCGAAAGTGGTGATGTAGCCAAGATAAATTAAGTCATGTGATTTCAACATTCTGGTCAGTGTGATAAAACACCCCACTGATATGACTACAGTCTTAATCTCATATGAGTGTAGATGATTTTGAATATACCCTTTATATATCAAAAATAGTATTAATTTCTTTCGGTGTAAGTCTTACTGGGAAAATGGGGGGAAATACTCCTCTAAATGTGATTTATCTCAGTTTTAACTTCTCAACAACTTCACATCTTCATAAACACCAGTTTGTGAAAGACTGGTGTAAAGCAGTGAAAAGAACATCTTATGACACACACTGTACAGTTGAAGCCCTGTTTTTCATTTCTGGTCCCATTACTGCAGTGCTGTGTTTTTCACAGTGTAGTCTCACACAGATCGCATTTAGTGCTGATCCTATTTTCACAGCTGAGTCAGCGTCTCGGTAGCCAGTGCAGTTAAACATGAGCCAAACTCTGTGTGTGTGTGTGTTTGTGTGTGTGTGTGTGTGTGTGTTGTGAATAGGAGTGTTTAGATCTCCAGGGGCAGTTTATTGGATCGGCGTGTGGACACCATGGTCCCTACACTCCTGATGTGCTCTTCTGGTCATCCATCTTGTTTTTTAGTACCTTTTTCCTGTCTACCTTCCTGAAACAGTTCAAGACTAGCAGATACTTCCCAACACGGGTGAGGCTAAAATACACATTCACAAACACAGTTTGCACACAGTGTCATTTTCTATACAATAAATGCAAAGTGTGTATTTGTGTGTTTCTGTCATGTAGGTACGGTCAATGATCAGTGATTTTGCTGTGTTCCTCGCCATTGTTCTTATGGTCCTGATGGATTATTTAATTGGAGTTCCATCCCAAAAATTACAAGTGCCCAGCAAATTCAAGGTAAGGATCATAAACGAATGTGCATACAAACGCACACACTTGTGTTTGTGTTTTTAACTCTGTATGCATCATATTTGATAAATTGCTTTCTAAAGTCTTAAATCTTGAATGTGATCAATACATATTGATAAAAAAAATAAAAAATAAAAATAAAATAGTGGTATCCCTTGTAGTAAAATATATTTCTAAGTAGAAGGATTTTTCATATAATTTCCAACATGTTGACCTTTGTGTTATGATCAACATGCGTTTTTGCCTCTGTGCTGATGGCGAAGTATTTGCAAGAATAATTTGATATTATTATTATTCATATTTCAGAATTAATATTTAATGGATCTAAGCAATGTGTGCATAATATTTCATGGATCATTTTATATTTGAGGTATATTTATTTCATTCATAACTGAAATGCATTTCATGATATATTATTCCAAGCCAAAGTCATTAAATTATATAATCATTAACTAAATTAAATGTTATTTTGCTAATATATATCCAGAGTAAGAACTGACATTTACTTGTATTTTTTATATATGCAATATTCTTATATTATTGCAAACTCTTAACATGATAAAATATACAATTTTACAAATAAACCAAAATACATGCAAAATCTAATCAAATCATATTTCTTTCAAAAAAGAGACATCTGTGTAGGTCAGTACTCTCCTAAATGCCTTGAACATTTCCAGTTCTTCCTAACAGCTCTGCTTGTGAATCATGTTCTTTCTAAGCTTACCTTACAGTGATGAATCCACTGCTTCAATCTTCAAAGTTTTTTTAGTGCCCAGTCATAATCCAAAACAGTCCTGTATTTGTGCAATTAATTCGTGTCTTGTTTCTAGGCACATTTTCTCAAATGATAAGGCTGGAGTGGCACCCCTGCAGTGACAGATTAGATGATTAGACAATGCTGAGTCTTGGAATTGAGTTTATACCCCAGGCTAATCTGGATACACCCGTTGTGCGCAGACAGTGATCTATGAACAATTGAGCTGGAATAATATTTAATCCATAGTTAACAAGTATGCCTCAATTTAGAATGAATTGTCATGAACATTCCTTATTTTATATTCATGTAGGAAAATACACACATCTTAACTTACATAAGCATAATGAATCACAATAAAGTGTACACTAAAAATATTTGAATTTATCAAAAATCGACACTATTGTTCAATAGCTATTAATACTTTTACTGAGCAGTGGCACACTAAATTGATGAAAAGTGACACTAAAAACTTTTTGTATTTCAGATAAATGCTGTTCTTATGAACTTTCTGTTTTTAGAGAAAATGAAATAGAAAATGTATTACAGTTTCCACAAAAATTGTAAGCAGCACAACTGTTGATAATAATAAGAAATGTTTCTTGAGCAGCAAATGAGCACATTAGAATGATCTCTGAAGAATCGTGTGACACTGAGGACTGGAGTAATGTCTGCTGAAAATTCAGCTTTGCCATCACAGGAATAAATTATATTTTAATATATACTGTATATTAGAATAGTAGTTTTGAATTGCAATAATATTTCACAATATTACTATTTTTACTGTTTACTATTTATTTTTTTGATCAAATAAATGCAGCCTTGGTGAGCATAAGAGACTTCTTTTAAAAACTTTAAAAAATCTTATTGACACCAAACTTTTGAATGCAGTTTTATTTAAGTAAAACATACAGTATATATAAAATTCTGATTCATAGTGAAGCTTTTAACATTTGCCTCACATTTCCAGGGGTTTGGTGGGTTTTTTGACTTTCTCCTGGTTGTGTTTTACAGCCCACGCGTGATGACCGTGGTTGGTTTATTAACCCTATCGGCCGAAACCCATGGTGGACTGTGCTGGCTGCCTTAATACCAGCTCTTCTCTGCACCATCCTCATCTTCATGGACCAACAGATCACCGCCGTCATAATAAACCGCAAGGAACACAAACTGCTAGTATGTTTATTTTCTAAATTGGCCTTTACAGAGGATGTGTGTGTGTGTGCGCTGATCATATGTAAGTGTGTGCCCTATTTCCTCTACACAGAAAGGCGGCGGGTACCATTTGGATCTTCTGATGGTTGGAGTGATGCTGGCTGTATGTTCCATCATGGGGTTACCCTGGTTTGTTGCAGCAACCGTCCTGTCAATTACCCATGTCAACAGCCTGAAGCTAGAGTCTGAAAGCGCAGCCCCCGGAGAGCAGCCTCGATTTCTGGGTATTAGAGAACAGAGGCTGACTGGTTTGTTCATTTTTCTACTCATGGGCTGCTCTGTGTTCATGACTGGAGCATTACAGGTACTTACAAAAATTCTGTGGTTGTCATATAATATGTACAGGGGCCTTCTTAAAGAGATTAAAATTCTATCATTTACTGCCCCTCATATCATTACAAACCTGTATGACTTACATTCTTCTTCAGAACACAAAAGAAGATATTTTGAAGGATGTTGGTAACCGAACAGGTTTCAGGTCCCATTGACTTTCATAGTATTTTTTGCCTATAATATGGAAGTCAATGGGACCCGAAACTGTTTGCTTACTAACGTTACTAACATTCTTCAAAATATCTTCTTTTAAATAAATAAAATAAATAAAACTGCATTCAAAAGTTTGGTGTCAATAAGATTTTTTAAAGTTTTTAAAAGAAGTCTCTTATGCTCACCAAGGCTGCATTTATTTGATCAAAAATACAGTAAAAATAGTAATATTGTGAAATATTATTGCAAAATATCTTCTTTTGTGTTCTTCCCTTTAAATTAGGCACACTTAAAATATATATAAATGTCACTGCATTAGATAACAAAATGTCTTAATGGACTGATTTTTGTTTCACAGTTCATTCCCATGCCAGTTCTCTATGGTGTTTTTCTTTATATGGGCGTTTCATCTCTGAAAGGCATTCAGGTAGAGATATTCGTCTGATACTAACAATACATGTGCATACCGACACGTCAAGTCATTCATCAACTTCTCTGTCCTGTCTTTCTCAGTTTTTTGACCGTCTGAAGTTGTTTGGCATGCCAGCGAAGCACCAACCAGACTTTATTTATCTACGTCATGTTCCTCTGAGGAAGGTTCACCTGTTCACTCTGACCCAACTTACCTGCCTTGTGTTGCTCTGGGTCACCAAAACTTCCCCTGCTGCAATCGTCTTCCCTATGATGGTACAACCTAAAACAAAGAGCATGCTTTATGTTAGGGGTGTTAAAACGAATTAAAAATATATATATACCTATACTAGACTAGTATTTTACAGTATCAGTCTGACTGAGTAATAAATAGGCTTCTTTCAAAGGCTAACATTCATTTTAAATGCATATTTTCAATAAAATATGTGTGAATGTTTTTTCATTGATAATCAAAGCGAATTTTATTGGTACAGCCTCCATTTTTTTGCACATTGCTTGTGAACACAGGGTCTGAAAAATTGTGAGATTTACATTTATACATTTGGCAGAAAACTTTGTCCAAAAAGTTTAAGGGGTACAGTACATTTTATCAGTTCATGCAATCCCTGGGAGTAAAACCCATGACCTTGGTGTAGCTAGTGCCGTGCTCTACTGTACAGTGATGAAGGTTGATTTAAGAACCATTGTAATCATATAGTAATAGTATATTAGTAGCAAATATTAGTGTTTATCTCCTGTAGGTGCTGGCATTAGTGTTCATCCGTAAGCTGCTGGACTTCTGTTTTTCCAAACGGGAGCTTAGCTACCTTGATGATCTGATGCCTGAGAATAAGAAGAAGCTGGATGATGATTCCAAAAAGGCAGAGGAGGTTTGTGATCCATACGCAGAGTTTAATTAAGCAAAAAGGTCATACAGCAAACACAGCAGTATGTATAATGTGCTTAATTTGTACATTTTGCTATATGGGCAGAAAACTTGTGCTACATTTGCCAAAATTATTCAGTATTGTATCCCACCATGCAATGTGCTCAACCTAACATTACATTTCATGCATAACAAATTAACCAAAAGTAGTTTTTGCCATATTTTTTTCCTTCTTGAGGAAAAAAAGCTTCATTTTTGAGATACATTTTTACACCAACTTGGATTAACAATGCAACATAATATGAAAAAAAACCATCAGGCAAAATGCATAAATGAAAATGGGTTTTATAAATCTTTTATATTTAATTTGATTATGTTTTTATTTTATTATTTTTTATTATTATTCATTTAATGTATTTTATTTCCTATTCTGGATGGCCACAAACAACTAAAAATGCAACAAAATGAAGTCATGTGACAACAGTGTATTGCACTACTATTTAAATTGTTTATTTTCACATACAAATACTATTTTTTCATTAGCAGTAAACATTGTAGTAAGATGTTAGTTTCCACCCTGAACAACCTTAACCCAATCTTCCCATCAAATCATGCTATTTATGCATGTAAACTGAATTTAATACATCAACCTAAACTTGCATTGATTTTTGGTCACATGTAATACATAAACAATGAAGGAGGGAGTATGTATGTGTTTATATGAGTAGCAGGAATCACAGGAGATGCTGGTTGATGACTCTGAGAAATTAGAAGACAAAAACACAGTGAAGATCCCCATGGAGAGCAAACCTCTACAATCACCTCGAACCCCAGACCCCAGGTACCACTCTGCTGCAGACCTCCACATCAGAAGCTCTATGATGTAATGCAAACCCTGGAGCCCTGTCCAATGGTGTTCAAAATAAGCGTAGACACCACAGTGTCCACGGTGTATCTGATAATGTGTACTTACTAACACTCACCTTTCCATTTCTCCCCTTCTCCTGCCTTCACCCCTCCTCTCCTCGACTGTGTCCACCTGTTGTCCAGGACTGATCCCTCTGATATTAACATATCTGATGAAATGTCTAAAACTACTGTATGGAAATCCCTCAATTCCAATCACAAGGACACACAAAGCTCAAACACAAATAAAAAGGCAAGGACTCTCGCTCTTTCCATCCTTCAATGGTTGGTTATTGTTCCACTTCCCTGAATTCCCTTTCTTACCCACGTGTCTACTACTTTTCTTGATTGTAGATGGGTTTGTTTCTTCATCGGGACAGATTTGAAGAAATTTAGCAGCTGATAAAAACATCACAAATAATACAAACAAATCCAGTCAAAATTCACTGGCATATTTATCTAGGATTGTTTTGGACTATTTTCACTTGTAAGTAGTGCTTGTCTGAGCAGATTTCTCTCCTGATTCAGATGAGACTTTTTCACTGGATAAAACAATATTATGGATAAAGGATATTTTAGCCTGGAGCAACAGTTTACTGTTAAAAACATCTTACTGATGAATTTGTTCATTACAAACACACAGATTTATGCTTCACAAGATGTTAATTGAAGAACTGGCGTTTACTTGTGTGGATTGTGTGAAGTGTGGACTACTTGTAGATTACTGTGATGTTTTTATCAGCTGTTTGGACTCTCATTCTGACGGCACCCATTCACTGCAACTGATCCATTGGTAAGAAAGTGAAGCAATGCTACATTTCTCCATATCTGTTCTAATGAAAAAACAAACTCATCTACATCTTGGATGGCCTGAGGGTGAGTAAGTTTTAAGCAAATTTTAATTTTTAAATTTTAACCTTTAAGTTTTAATTATTATATTACAAACTGGGTTTTAACTGCTAAAAAGTTGTGAGTTTATCTTATTTATTATCTGTGTGTTTTTCTCTCTTCGCAGGAGGTTCCGTGAAGTAACCCCACAGAAAGAAGAAATTACGTTCTTAGCGTCGGTTGTTTGAAATTCAGCTGACTTAAAAAAGCAGCCATGTGCTAAAAACACACAGATATTAGTTCACTCCTTTCCACTGTTTCTCACACACATGCGATCACACACGTGGGTTTATGTATAGCTGTGTGAGATATATTGGTGTGTCAGTGTGTGTGTGAATATGTGCAACATTTTCTCCTACCAAATCCAGGTTATTTTTAATGTTTAGTTGAGTTTTAGCAGACATGGGCGTCTCTGTGCTGTGCTGTAGTGTACATGTATTTATTTATTTATTTTTTTGTTAATTGTCTGGTTCTCATTTATAGAATAATACAGTTGTTTAAATGTTCTTATTTTAGCTATATACTTGCTGTAGATGTTACTATATATGTGTGGTTTGTTCATTGTCAAAGATCCACGATAAGTACGTGTGTTTAAGCCAAATTGCCAATCAGAATAATAACCTCAGTTTGAACTATTTTTGTGCCAGTATAAATAGCCATCAGTTACATTAGACCAACCATGAACCAAATCGGTCCTTATCCAGTAGACGGACTTGTCTATTTTTATTGCGTGTGTTGTATTGAAAGTTGTTAATATTAAGCAATAAAAGGCTTCTATATGGTTAGGTCACCAGGGACACTGATGGATAAGTATGAACTCTGTCGTGATTGTTTTACCACCATTTTAATGTCACCCCTCCCCTACTTGTAAGAACAGAGTGGTTGAAATTTCCATTTCGATGCACCATTCAAATTTAAGGCACAAGGGTCGAGGGTAAACTGGACTGTTCAGGTTTTCATATGAAGACCCTTTCCGGTCACGAGTCCAAGTAATAAGCCATCTAGACTACCTCCCCACACTTTTAAAACTCCCACAGTAGTTTCTGCACTGAAAGAGGTAAAAAAAAAAAAAAAAAAAAAATTTTTGTGTTTCTCAGTGAAATAACACTTTATTTACAGTTGCACTTTGTGTAGATATATACTAATATGATTTTATATTTTGAATGGAATTAATATATAGAGTGTGATACAATTATTTTAATTAAATAATTTTTTTTATATAAATGTATTTTAATACAATGAGTTGAGCAGGTATAGTAAGACACTGGCTGTTAATATGAATGGGTTACAGCTGTACTTTTCTTACAGGACCAGTTGTCTGTAAATTGTAATTTCACCTTATTAAACTGCCTTCAGATGAGGAGAATGTCATATTTAATTTGGAATGTCGACTCAGCTTTGGAATGTTGAGGAATGAGAACTTTTCCCAGCTTGACATTAAGCTACTAAATTATCTATATTGTCCCCTCCATGGCTTTCTTGTTTACGGAAATGTTGTCATTTACTTGATTGTACATGTTATCTTAATGCTGGGATGTGCTCAAAGAGAATGTCTGTTTCACTCAATAAATTTGAGATTTTCTGAATGAGATTAACCTGCTAAGAGTTGTGCATGTGTTCTTACGTGTTTCTCAACAAATGGTCATTAGGTTAGTGTTCTTTACTAAATGATGCATCAAATCTGAAAATGGGTCATGCTTTGAAGTTTGCAGCTGACAATAGGTCAAAATGTAGGTATTTTTGGATAATAAATGAATGTGTAATACATAATTGATCATTAAATTCTGTAATAGTTATAGTCATTGAGTCGATTACTGTATGTGTATGTGTTCAACCACAGTGTATATTTCACTTCAGCATGTATTCATTTTGAACTATACAATTTAAAATCCATTATCACATTGATTTTCATGGTGATTCACGCCAGTAATGTCAGTATTCACTTCACTTTCAATGCATTTATATTCCAGTATATCCATCTTCACCATAATGTAACCTGAATTTTTATTTCCACCAAATATATTTCAGATCACATTTTCATATTTTGATAATTCTCTATTTATCAAACAATAACTGGCTGATCGTACATTATCCAGCTTATTACATGGCCACTCACTAAATGAAGGAATGTATGCATACAATTTTGAGTTGAAAGTATTATAATCATTTACATTCATTTTTAAAGTTATTTTTAATTTTTTCCCCTGTATATTATCTTATTTTCTTTTAAGACAAAATTGTGCAATGTATAAAACAGCCTAGCAACAAGACAAACACTTATGGTGGTAAGCCTATAATTATTACAATATACAGCTTTTAAAATATTCATTTTATATTGTGTCTGTATGTTTCAATGACTCTATGTTGGCTAACTGATTAATTGTGCAACTGTACTGATAAAAATCAAGAGCTGACAGGATGTGACAGTGACAGGTGAGACCTGCTTGAAAAATATGTGACAATCACAGTTTAAACAAGGCGGGTAATGGCTTTTTTCACTGCTATTAGCAGAATCCTCAGTAAATATTTAATACTGTTAATCACTAAATCCTATATACGTCCAAGGAATAGAACATAACCTGTATCCTCAATCTCTAAAATCTTCGGTATAATAGTATGTTTGTTTCTTTCCAAAAACACTTTTAAAACTTGGCAAGACCAAAAAAATATGTACATGATCAGCTGATATTGTCCCACATTGCCTCCAGCAAGATCCTTGACTTGTTACTCCCTTTCAGTTTTGGAGTAATAAAGAGCAGGGCAGGGAGAACTTAAGTCATAACCAATCCAACTTAATATCTTCATCTGATATTCAAGTTGAAATTTCCTTCTTCTAGTTCACGTTTTGTCCACTGACTTGTGATTTCACTTGTCTCTTTGAATTTTATATTATCACCTAGATGTGAATGAATAGGGATTGATGTTCACAAGATTTCTAGTTATTTCCATTTTGAAATATAGCTAGAATCACACCTACAAATTAAATTTCTCAACTGAGTCTTGCAAGCAAGGTAGGGACCTCCCCCCTTTTTCTTTTGCTGATTGTAATGTTATGAATTGTATCTAATTTTTTTTACTGTTCCAAATCATTCTTTCTGTCCCAGTCACGAAACAGTCTCTGGTACAGTTTGAACTGCATGTGTGATGTTAAATGTAAAGCAAAACACTATATTCATTGTTCACAACTAAACCTTCCAGAAAAGATTATGCAATATTTTGTAATATTATGATTAAAACCATTTACCTCTTCCTCTTTTTTCCTTCAATACTAATGTGATACAAATACAGCGTGACTTCGAAAGACTAGGAAGACACTATGAACTAAAATTACTTGATCATTTGACTAAAAACATCCCAAACTACCCAACCCCCATTGAATTTCACATTTCAGAGGTGACTCATGTCACTAACAGTGATGATCTTCTGAAAATCATGGAGTCAAGGGGATTCAAGGCTCATCATGAGAAGTTCTCGTGGTGGAGTCTGAAGATTGATGAAGGGAGTATACGAGCAGCTGAGAAGCATCATATGGAGAACTTGTTCCCAAACAGATCCCAAGAACAAACAGAAAGACAGGAGCCATACCTCAGCAAATTCACCACATCACCTGCATGTCACATTGACAAATCACGCTGTGGCAACTTTCGGTTCACGTTTCCTCTTATGGAAACATACAAGGAGCAGATGTGTGGAGGGCATGACCCAGTTCTCAGGGAATATAAGACAGTGTTTTACAAGCAGGAGATCATGTATGTTGTTATTGTTCACAGCCCAAAGGACAATGAGAGGTTTGAAAAATTCCCAAAGATTGAAAAAAGCTCATTTGAAGATTATGAGGAAAATCAAATAGTCTGGAAAGACTAAAGATATTGAATGCAGAAGACAGAACAGCAAAGGCTGAACCTGTGCTTGTCCGTTGTTATGTATGGGATCGTGTTAGCCTGGCATTTCATTTCGATGATGTCTCACAGTTCCCTAAAGAAACCCTTCAAAAGAACATCACCTGCTGTGAACTGGCTGAAATAAATCTTGAAATAAAAGGAAAAACCTGCTCCTCCTTTGAAGAAGCAGAAAAAAATACTTTCTAAATATTTGGTGTAAAAACACTCTGCACTCAGAAATTGCAAGTAAATTTCACAATCAATTAGAAAGATACAGCAAGAAACACATTGAATTAAACATTCGATTCTGAAGTAGAAAAACTGAAATAGTATTTGTAAACATACTCCAATAATCTGTTATATTTAAACTTAAAAAATAATTATTATTATTTACAGTGTAGTCATAAAAGGACAGTGGAAGCAAACACGAGGACAAGTCCAATGAAATAACTTTTAAATGCAAATTATAGCTTAATATTTTGCTGGTTTCTCTGTTTTGACATGATTAGTGTTCAGTAATCTTAATCGTTTTTAAATAATTCAATTTTTAATCAAGAATAATTGAAAATTATTTTATTTGGCTTTCCATTTTATTTTTCTACTTGTATAAGCAGTTTAAGATATGCTGTGTGGCTGTATTTTACTTTTACCTATATTTATATATGATTACCTTAATCTTGCATGTAATATTGCATACTTTTTATTATTATATAATTGTATTATTACCTTGAAGTAATTTTCATATTTGTAAAGTTTTCTTGAACCTTTCAATAGACAAGCTATCAGCAAATCTATAGAGATGACATAATTGATTTTGCAAAGACTATAATTTGCAGTGACTTTGTATTTGACACTTTTCTGACTTCATTAAACTCGTCATCATTAGACTCTGTCGCATTTAATTGCAATTCTGACTCCCAGTTGTTTTTATTCACACTGGGACCAGTTGCATAAACACAGCCACTATGTTAAGGCTGGCCAACTAGCAGTCAGACAAGGGATGTGTAATTAAATGATACTTTTCAAATTCAAATTAGATAAACATACATTTTTGCATAACTGACTTTTAAAAGTTATAAAAAAAAAGACTGGTCTACCCAAATAATACGCTCATGTTGATGACTACTTCCACAAACACTAACTCACTATGTTTCTTTCTGTGCAGCCATCACTTCAGCGGTTTGCAGTGTGTACATTAGAAACAGTCATGGGTTTAATAGCTTTATTGCAAGCTTACATAGGACAAAGTTCACATCTGAATCTGTAGCCTAGCCTAGAACTTACATTTGGCATTCAAATTAGGCTGGAGAAGATTAAGTACAAACAAATTAAAGGGGACTAGTAATTAAAAAGATTGGAGAATAACCAGAATTTACAGAGCACTTTTATCATTTCACAATAA